AATAGGGTTTAGGGCTCAGGATATAGCCTCATAGGGTCTTGGATATAGGATCCCTATATGCCGATACAAAACAACCTGAAACCGGATTATAATTATGCTAGCCTAGATTTTCACGACAATGATAGAGCACAACGACAACCATGACGACCAAGACGACCCCTATGGCCAGGACGACCACGAGGATGACCAGGCGCCTCCAGCAGACCACGGGAACCCTAAAACGAACCCTAAAGCCTAAACCCTGAACACAGCAGCCCCGAGGAAACCGTACCACCCCAGGAGCACCAGGCCAAGAATGACACCCCACTTAAAGGATCATGGGACGTAGTAACTCCGGTTAAGGATAAGATAACCATGCTTATTATTACTTATCACCCCAACTCGAGCAGCCATAACTTTGCTTACTTAGTCCCATGATTCTCCAAGCAGGAGACCACGAGGAGATCGGCAGCAAACCAGGGACCACGAGTAAGTATAGTACTAGTAGTTAGGTTAGACCAATAGACCACCAAGACTCCACGGCCAAACTGCTTCCCCCAAGTACTGGCGTACTGGCGGGACTCAGGAGGACCGCCAAATTGCTTTCCCCCAGTACGGACGGGATTCAGAGAAGCCCATAGCATGTGTCGCACTGTTTGGGGAGCCATTGAAGCCCCTGTAGAAGGGTTTTACGTTCAGGCTTCAATCTGCCGCGGCCAAGACAGCGAGCTGAATGCGCGTTGACAAAGCTAGGCGAAGGGCAATGTCGACAGGAGCAACTACAAAACAATAACACTGATGGGAGTCAAGAGAACTGGTGATGATGATGTTGATGATGATGGTGATGATGGTGATGGTGATAAAGATGAAGATGATGATGATGATGATGATGCTGATGATGATGATGATGATGATTGTGGTGGTGCTGGTGATGATGATGGTGATGAGGCTGTTGATTATGTTGGTGGTGGTGATGATGATGATGATGGAGATGATGGTGGTGACGACGATGATGATAACAACGATGATGATGATGGTGATTCTGATGCTACTGCTAACGCTGATGATGATGATGATGATG